TTGGTTTTAAATTTTTGTTTGAAGTCCTTTCACTTCTGTCCATATCAAATTCTTAAAATTAATCAAATTTCACGTCAGATTTTCAATCATTATTTAATTTCCTTTTATGTCATTTATGTTTAGAATAATTGGTTATTTACATAATTTAAGGGATTTTATTGCAGCTAGATATTCCTAACATCCTTTTAATTTGAAATTCAAATATAAATTTATACGTTCCAATAGCTTCATCTCATTTTTCGTTTGACTAAATTTAATCCATGTTTTGTCATAATCATGGGTCCATTATATTTGCTATAACGCTTATGGATACTTTTATTTTTATTTTTATTTTTTTTATTTTTTATCTTGATGGATACGTTCTTTTGAAATTTATAAATACGTATACTTGTACTCATCTAATTATACGGGTGCATTTTTTTTTTTTTTTATAAAAAGATTAGGGGTACACACATTTAAACAATTTTCTTTTGGGAGGATGTAGGAATTGTACCATCATTGTATATGGCAATTGTATGGGTATTTTCTTTTAGCAAGTTACTACAATTACATCTTCCGTATTAATGTAATAGGTACAGTTGCAATTGTTTAAATTGCTGCTAGATCCTCTTTATTGTTCTATTTTTCTACCCATATTATAATCTCTCACACCTTAAAAAGTAAAAAAATAAAAATATTATTGGTCCACTCACTTTATTCCTAAAATAACGTCTAATAAATATTCAACCAAAAAAAAAAAAACATTGTCAACTTCACAAAATATTGAAAAATGAAATTTTCAAAGAAAAAAAAAAGCCACCTTTTTACTCCACCTATCCACCCAATCTGTCGGTAAAACCTCAACCTCTCTTTCTTGCACTTCCCCCAAACACCCGTATCCATAATCTACCTAGTATCAAAAAAGGCACGTCTCTTTTTTCTCTAGCTCAAATCAACTTTTTTTTTTGGCTAAAAGATGGGTCGTAAGATGATATTAACAAGAGGTTCGGTGAGGTTACATCTCATAGAACCTTTTCATAGTCACATTAGCCTATAGATATCCACCTATTAGGAATACAATAGGTCTCTCAATAACTCAATTAACTGCAATAAGTTCTCTACATTATTATTTTGAATGTTTCATATAACTTAACATTACAAAACTCTATTAACTTAATTAATACAGTTCTTTCACATTGATGATTATGTTCATTCAAATTCTTACAGGTGCACCTTTTTTTTTCTAGCTCAAATCAACTTGCTTTTGGGTTAAAGATGAGTCATAAGATAAAAGATATTAACAAGAGGCTGAGTGAGGTTGCAAATCGTAGAACCTTTCACTTAGAAGTAAATCGTGAAGATACACAATTTGTAAAGAGAGAGAGGGTCACTCACTCATTTGTTCGTAAGGAAAATATTATGGGGAGAGATAAAGATAAAATGGCAATTATCCAACTTTTGTTGGATTCCATCTCAACTGAGAATGTGTCAACCATTTCCATAGTTGGAATTGGAGGATTGGGAAAAACTGCACTTGCCCAACTCATATTCAACGAGGAGGTGATTCAAAAGCATTTTGAATTGAAAATATGGACATGTGTCTCTAATGTATTTGAGTTGGATATAGTTGTTAAGAAAATCCTTCAATCCAAAAATCATGATGAGATTGAGCAGTTGCAAAATGATCTTAGAAAAAAAGTAGATGGGAAGAAGTACCTACTTGTGTTGGATGACGTGTGGAATGAGGATCGAGAGAAGTGGCTTAGCTTGAAGAACTTGTTAGTGGGCGGTGGAGAAGGTAGTAGAATACTAATAACCACTCGTAGTAAAACCGTCGCGACGATATCAGACACAGCTAAACCATACACCTTAAAGGGTTTGAATGAAGAGCAAAGTTGGTCTTTATTTAAGAAAATAGCTTATAAAGATGGAAAGGAGCCAGAGAATCCAACAATTAAGGCAGTTGGGGAGGAGGTTGCAAGAAAATGTCAAGGAGTTCCACTCGCTATAAGGACGATAGGTGGGATGTTGTTCGCCAAAGATGACAAAACAAATTGGTTGAATTTCAAAGAAAAGACACTTTCAAAATTAAATCAAGAACAAAATGATATTTTACCAACACTTAGATTGAGTTATGATGTGCTCCCATCACATTTGAAGCATTGTTTTGCTTATTGTAGTTTGTTCCCACCTGATTATGAGATCTCTGTACAGAGATTGATTAGATTTTGGGTGGCGCAAGGGTTCATTAAGTCATCTGACGAAAACGAGTGTTTGGAGGATGTTGCGTATGAATATTATAGGGAGTTGTTGCAGAGATCATTTTTTCAAGAAGAAAAAACAAATGAGTTTGGTATGATAGTAAGTTGTAAAATGCACGATCTCATGAATGAACTTGCAATCTCAGTGTCGGGGGTCAGAAGCGTCATAGTTGATATGAACCAAAAGAATTTTCATGAAAAGCTTCATCACGTATCTTTCAATTTTGATATTGATTTGTCGCAATGGGAAGTGCCAACATCCTTGCTAAAAGCAAACAAGATACGAACTTTTCTTTTTACTTGCCAAAAGCCTTACGGAAAAGGAGAAGGGTCATTATGTGATTCATTTTGTGCTACAATTGTTTCAAATTTTAAGTTATTACGGATGTTGAGTCTCAATGAATTAGGAATTACAACATTACCTAATTGTCTTAAAAAAATGAAACATTTGAGATATCTTAATCTTAGTTGTAATCCAAGCATCAAGAGACTTCCAGATTGGATAGTTGGACTGTCGAATTTGGAAACACTAGATCTCACAGAATGTGGGTGGCTTGTGGAATTGCCTAGAGACATTAAAAAAATGATCAACTTGAGGCATCTCATCTTGGAAGGCTGTGATGGATTGAGTGGAATGCCACATGGAATTGGTGAATTGAATGGTGTTCGTACATTGAATAGATTTGTTTTGAGCGAAAGCAATTGTTTGGGGAGGGGCGGTAGTGCTGGTCTTGCTGAGCTGGGGACCCTTAGGGAATTAAGGGGAGAGTTACTCATTGACAATTTGAGGCATGTGGTGTCAGAATCAAATGTTGGTACACCTCTCAAGGACAAACAGCATCTTTGTTCGTTGCAATTGTGGTGGATACTTCGAGAAGATATAAGCGCGGTTGATGAGGAGGATATTATAAAGTCAATGGAAGTATTGCAACCCCATTCTAATCTAAAACAGTTGGAAGTGTCGTTTTATGGTGGTGTGAGGTTTGCGAGTTGGTTTTCTTCTCTCATAAATATTGTTAATCTCAGATTGTATTGGTGTGAGAGATGCCAACATCTTCCACCCTTGCATCATTTGCCTTCCCTTAAGTCTCTTACAATGGTTGGGTTGGAGAAGTTGGAGTACATATCAGAGAATGAGAGCAGTAATAGTATGAGTGATGAGATGATGAGGATCTCATTCTTTCCCTCCCTGGAGACACTCAAGATAGTATATTGCCCTGTTCTGAAGGGATGGTGGAGGGCCCACACTCATAACAGTGCTGCTTCTTCTTCATTAACGGAAAATCTGTCGTTGCCTTCTTTTCCTCGTCTTTCTACCTTGTCTATTTATGAGTGTCCTAATCTAACTTCCATGCCTCTGTATCCCAATGTGGAGAGAATAAAACTTACGAGGAGCAGCTGGAAGGTTGTTGATTCCTTGTTTGTTAGAGGAGCATCTGATATTACACATGATGTTGGTGTTGACGTTTCTGCCTCTTCTTCTTCCCCTCATCTCTCCAAATTAACACATCTGACACTCAATGGAATTGAGGATTTGGCATCACTGCCAGAAGAAATAAACAATCTCACATCACTTCAGGAGCTTGCAATTAGTAATTGCTCTAATTTGTCATCACTGCCAGAAGGGATTCGTGGACTCCCCTGTTTAAATAGATTGGAAATTCGGTGGTGCCCCATGTTAAGCGAAAGATGCAAGAAAGAAACAGGTGAAGACTGGTTTAAGATTGCTCACATCCAATCCATTGAAATTGTTTAATCTTAAGGTGCGTTTTCTAACTTCTTTAAATTTACACTTGCCTAATTCAGTATAAGCTATGAAATATTAAAACGCCAACCTTGTTTCTTATTTTTATTCTTCATACATCTTCACCAGCATTTTATTTTTCTTTCCAGATGGCATAACATGTGGATCAATGATTTCGGTATGCATTCATTAACCACTAAATTCAATTTTTTTTTTAAAATTTCTCTTTAATTTCCTTCTTTTCAATTATCTAGTCTTGTATGCAGTGTCAACCTTTTTGATTCAATATGTAAGGGTCATGTTGATTGCTTAAAGTGGTTGTATATGATTTTACTTTTGATTGTCAGGGTTTTAAGTACTATGTCCCCTCGTTGTATGTTTTTTCATAACAGTGCTTCTTCTTCTTCTTCATCAACGGAAAATCTGTCGTTGCCTTCTTTTACTCGTCTTTCTACATTGTATATCATTAATTGTCCTAATCTAACTTCACTGCCAGAAGGGATTCGTGGACTCCCCTGTTTAAATACATTGCAAATTTCTGGGTGCCCCATGTTAAGAGAAAGATGCAAGAAAGAAATAGGTGAGGACGGGCCTACGATTGCTCACATCCCACACATTGACATTTATTAAGGTGCGTTTTCTAACTTGTTTCAATTCACACTAGCCTAATTCAATATAAACTACGAAATATTCAAATGCCAATCTCATTTCTTAATTTTATTCTTCATTCATCATCACCAGCATTTTACTTTTTCTTTTCAAATGACATTACCATGTGGATCAAAGTTTCCGTCGTCCATACTTTTTAACTTCAATTTTTTTTTTTAATCTCTCTTTAATTTCCTTCTTTTCAATTATAGTCTTATATGCAGCGGATGGGGCGTCAAACCTTTTGGATTCAATACGTGATGGCCACGTTAACTTGGAGTGGTTGTTTATGTGTTTTTTTTTTTTTTTTTTTTGATCATCGGGGTTTAGGTACTATGTCCTCCCTGTTGTAATGTTTTTTCTTCAGTAATATAATATGGGCGTGAAGGCCTAGCCCCCCAGCTTTGACTGGGTTCCAGCCCTCTTTAAATATTTCTTTTTAATATTACTCCAACAACAGCGACCATCAAAAGAGCTTCCCAGACCGACATGATCTCGTTGCCATAATAATCCTTTGTACACAGGCAATTCTAAAACCATAAGATACCTAAAACAAACCTACTGATATTACAGAATGGTTTAACCCAAAGTTATTTAATTCAAACACCGAACGCAAACCCTAAGCACCTTGATAGTCCTTAAACCCGGGAAAGAGTGTATACTCACAGTTGCAGAATCCCAAAGCCACGCCTGAAACGTCTGAAGCTGAGGGTTGAGCTTAAGTTGTTCCATGAGTGCATTAGCTTCTTTCCACTCATCTCAGCTTTCAATGTGGCATTTTCAGCAGCCCAGATCGCACCATCCACCTAAAAATATTGCAAAAGAAAAATGTTTTAGCTCCTAAATCCAAACAGCAAAAGAAAAAACACAGAAAATTAAGTAAACAGAACGCAACTGAACTTGCACAGCTGCTTCTCAAATTCACGAAATGTTGCTAGAATGTTGCAGCTGCGCGGCAAATTCATCAGGTAATTTCTGTTGCCAATGATTTTCTATCAAATGAATTCATTTTGTGTTCAAATTCTAATTAATAATAAGAAAAATACCATGAATTTCATTTTGGGAAGCTGTGCAACATACCCTCCTCTGGTGAAAACATATCCTACAATGCAGCAAGAAATAGAGTAAAAGGAATAATAGTTGGTTTCCATCTAGAACCTCAAAACCCCACTTTAGTCTTTCTCTTACAGGAGGAAACAGCGTACAGGGTAGCAATATCTTGCAAACCCTTGATTTATCGGTAAAGCACATCAGAACCAAACAGTTAAGAAAATAATTTAAAACCAATTCTATATTTCTAATCAGAAAGAGCATTTCACAAAATTCCAGATCTGCTACACCATCAAAGGACAGACCGAATAGGAAAACGACATCATTCTTTATCCAGATTGAAACAACAATCCCACTAAAATTGACTACTCATAAGAATCTCATTCCACAAAACTTCTTCAGTCCAGGCCTAAACAACTGCAAGCAAAAAAAAATCCCCAAGATACGTACTTTCATCCAAATCATCCACCGCCATTAACAAAAGCACAACCTATATCTTCCTTCGGCTAAGATTACAGAACAAATTGAAACCCTACTCATTCCCAAACATGCTTTTGGAATCAGAATAGAAAGGAAACTTGAAATTAGAGGATCATACAAAACTGGGCTGCGGATTGGACTCGTGCTCGGAATCGACCTCGTCCTCTTCCTCTTCAGATAGATCACCGAATAAGTTCAACATCACCGATGTGTCATTTTGACAAAGTAAGCAAATAGTTTGAAATTCAAAATTTTAAGAGTTTGGGCTGATGGAAGTGGCGTTCCGTCAGTGGCATGAATTGAAAAAACAAAAATTGTTTTACACGCCAGACTTTCTTCCAGTTTGTGGGCCGTTTATTTAAGCTTGTATTCTCTTAAGCTTTTGTTCTTTTATTAATTTTCATGTCCTTTTCATTTGAATAAAGTTATGTGATTTTTGGTTATATTAAAATTAGTTCAAACCGTTTGACATTGTACCGTTAACATATATTTAATATTGACAATTGATGACGATCCTATAATCATGATTTAATCTAGACTTTTCCTTACCAAGCAATTAAGATGTATTTACTTATACACTAAGTTTTGCTAACAATATGTTGGAAAACTGAATACTTACAACACATCCAAATCCCTCTTACATGCTTTTGTAATGGTCTAATCTCTCCAATCCCACATTTTGCAATCCATCTCTTACTAATTTGGTGTCAATCTCTTGAGACATAGAAACATCTTGCTCAAACTAACTCTTATGTAAGGGGATGTTTGGTATTATATTTTTATCCAATTTTTTTGTTTTGAAACTAATGTGCATTAAGTAATTTAGCTACATTTATTATTTATTTAAACAAAAAATTAGATGCAATGAAGATCCCAAGTAGGCCCTAAGTAACCTCAGCTGAGTGGTGCACAAATCAGTGCCCATCTTTTTCTAATGAGCTACGATAAACTCAAATGGATACACTGTAGTAAGAACGTTTGCCAGTTGATGCTTAGACTTTACAAAAGTCAAATAAATTAAAATGTTGATCAACTTCAACATGTTTACGTTGATCATGTTGAACGGGAGTGTGAGTGGGATTGTAGAAAGCCTAGTGAAGTTAACCCAAGTTTGCTTCAGTGCCAAGGCCGAACTTGACATTTTACCATGGCTACAAAAACTCTTACAGAAACCGAACTGGTGCAAGAAATTGAATAAACTTATTATTTGCTGCTCATTTCGGAAGGCCAGTTCGAAAAACCTTTTTTAGATTGCAAATTTTGTGATGACAAAAGATAAAGTAGAAACAAGGAAAAGAAATGAAAGCAAATACATTAGCGCCTCGATCACTATATGCCAAACATTTCTGAAGAGAAACTCATGTTCAAAACAACATAACACTCCAAGCATTAACCAAACACACTGATTAGGAGGATGAAAGAGAAAACATGTGACAAAGAAAAATTCCAAAAACTGAAAAACACTTCTTATTCTCCCCAGTTCTGAAAAGCCAGAGAAGGCGGGATAGCTAATCATCAAACAATTTAACTTGAGATACAATCTCACACTTCAAAAAGCTACGGTTCTTCATTTTCAATACCAAAATGCTACTCTTGTATGCATGATGCATACACACTACTGAAAAGAGTAATTCTTAATCCAGCATGAAAGTCACCCTTTGGCAGAATAGCACCTGTTCCTTCGTAAGGGCAATGCTAAGGAGCGAGATGTGGGTTTATTCCATCTATTAGGAATACAACAGGTCCTATGGTACTTGTACGATCTCTTTGGTATGTTACTAACCATGCTTCATACTGCAGTTCAAACTATATGGCTGTTAACTTCAAATTGTTTATGCAGCTGACGTCTAATATTTGATTTTTCTGCGTCGTATGGAGTCGGCTGATATTTACCTTTTTCATGAACACCCATACATTGTCAAGGCAACTAACGTCTATTATTTGATTTTTCTGTTTCGCTTGGAGTTGGCAGATATTTACCTCTTCATGAATACCCTTAAATTGTCAGTGCAACTGTGTTAACTGTAATTGGATGAATGAATGCTCGCGGGTGCTGGCAAAGGATGAAAACAATGTCAAAGCGCTATTTAGGCGAGGCAAAGCCAGAGCAGATCTTTGGCACTGGCTGTTGTCATTGATTTATCATCTTTTGGCACTGGATATTGTCATTGATATATCGTCTCTTCAGGCACGAAAGGCATAAAGCTGAGTAGTCAAAGATCTTAAGCTTTTGAATTGTACGATAAATGAAGAAATTCGTGTACTGAACTTGCTAATAAACAAGACTATGAATTGTGATTTGTGATCCAGAAGGTTGAGTTTACATGCCAATAGTTTTTGCAGGGATCAAAGATACAGTGATAAAATTGAACTGTTGTAAACCGTGAGACAAGATCCTCATTTTGCTTTGGTTACTGAGTTGCGATTGTGAATTTTCCGTCACCACCGTAATACTTCAACAAACAAATTGACAATGTTTGTTCTCTGCCATGTTCTTTTGCAACTTGATCCTACAAACAAAAGCATAGACAAAACTTGAAAAACGATGCCAACCTGAATCTTTTACAAAACAAAGCACCATGAAAAATTTCAATTAAATGTTTTCCCATATAAAAAAAGAAACAATGAAATAAACGTTTTACTTCGAAATTTCAATATAATCTTAGGTCAGACATTAACACCTTACTGTGAAATTTCTCCCCCAAAATGTGACAACAGTGTTCGAAGACAATCGTTGTTGAGTAGACACATTACAAAAAGCTTACTTTCCATGAGCTTTGCATGTAACTTACAAATTCCCAAGTACATGTGTCACTTGTATGTGCTCAACTTTCATTGCTTAATCAAGTTTACGACTGAAACATTAACCCAATCCCGAAAAAAACAAAAACAAAAACAAAAACGCGACTCTCTCTCTCTCTCTCTCTCTCTATGGCTTTCTTACTACACAAAAATGTACCTAATTAGAGCATGCCACACATCAACACATCCAATCTTCCACTTTACAAATCACAGCTGCTGGCTTTACTCGTTCTGCTTCGCCACAAATTATATACACAGAACTTAGAAATTGAAATATTGACACCTTTCATCGAACATCTAGTGTGCCACCTTCTCATATGCTTTCTTGTAAGATTAATTGAAGAAGAATACTTCAGTTTTTGAACAAAATTAACTTCAAGATGAGTAATTTAACAGAAATGAAGCAAAAAGAAACCCAAAAATCTTTAATTGAAGAACAAAACTTGGTCTTTGAACAAATAACTTCCGGATGAGTTTAACAGAGGAGAAGCAAAAAAAAACCCAGAAATTTGAAAAATTTGTCTTTCAGCACTGGAATTACCTTGAACGAATATCACTTCCGCTGCGAGAGAGATGGAATAACAGGTTGAGAGGAGAGACATTTTTTCTTTTCGGTCAACTTGATGAGGTTTTCTGGTCGTAGTGTTTTCATCGAGAGAGGTGGAATTAAGAATTCGGGAGTGCTGTCCAAAGGAGATAACGACAGCTCAAGAACCGAACGCTATGTAACTCATACGTGTCAATCGGGATATACTAGTAATTTTACCGTTTTGGAATTAAGAATTTGGTATAGCCAACTGATACGACAGTCTTCATTCCTAACTTATATTGTATGCGTGTTGACTGTTGCGTATCCTAGATCCATGAAGTTTCTTGATCCACCAAGCACCCACGCTCGTCCAACTACATCCCAAACTATTGTGTTTGGTTTATGATTCACTAGCCTTCATGCACGCGCCTGCATTTTTTAATCACACTATTATCCGCGTATGAAAGACCTTTTTTATAACCGGCATTACAGCCTCTTAAGATGAAAATTGCAATATTTCCAACTTGGAACCTACTACTCTTGTTCCGTAAAGACTTAAAAAGTAAACTGTATGATTTTTCCTCTATTTTAGGTCATGTGTCAATGAGTACCCCACCATTTAGACAACCCAGTTCTGATTAATACATTTTTTTTTGTTAATTTTAAATAATTGTCTCATTCCATAACTTCAAGACCGTTCTTCAAATCAACATAACACATCAATCAGGATCCTCATATATATAAATAGTTGATTTTTCAAACTTGTTGAAATTTGATTAGTTCAACTTTATCATCTTTTGAAATTTCTATGGAAAAATAATCCTCCAGATGCCAAAAAATCTTTTGGTATAGCCAACTGATACGACAGTCTTCATTCCTAACTTATATTGTATGCGTGTTGACTGTTGCGTATCCTAGATCCATGAAGTTTCTTGATCCACCAAGCACCCACGCTCGTCCAACTACATCCCAAACTATTGTGTTTGGTTTATGATTCACTAGCCTTCATGCACGCGCCTGCATTTTTTAATCACACTATTATCCGCGTATGAAAGACCTTTTTTATAACCGGCATTACAGCCTCTTCAGATGAAAATTGCATTATTTCCAACTTGGAACCTACCACTCTTGTTCCTTAAAGACTTAAAAAGTAAACTATATGATTTTTCCTCTATTTTAGGTCATGTGTCAATGAGTACCCCACCATTTAGACAACCCATTTTCTGATTATTACATTTTTTTTTTTTGTTAATTTTAAATGATTGTCTCATTTCATAACTTCAAGACTGTTATTCAAATCAACATGACACATCAATCAGGATCCTCATATATATAAATAGTTGATTTTTCAAACTTGTTGAAATTTGATTAGTTCAACTTTATCATCTTTTGAAATTTCTATAGAAGAATAATCCTCCGGATGCCAAAAAATCTTTTGGTATAGCCAACTGATACGACAGTCTTCATTCCTAACTTATATTGTATGCGCGTTGACTGTTGGGTATCCTAGATCCATGAAGTTTCTTGATTCACCAAGCACCCACGCTTGTCCAACTACATCCCAAACTATTGTGTTTGGTTTATGATTCACTAGCCTTCATGCACGCGCCTGCATATTTTAATCACACTATTATCTGCGTATGAAAGACCTTTTTTATAATCGGCATTACAGCCTCTTAAGATGAAAATTGCAATATTTCCAACTTGGAACCTACTACTCTTGTTCCTTAAAGACTTAAACAGTAAACTGTATGATTTTTCCTCTATTTTAGGTCATGTGTCAATGAGTACCCCACCATTTAGACAACCCATTTCTGATTATTACATTTTTTTTTTAATTTTAAATGATTGTCTCATTCCATAACTTCAAGACCGTTCTTCAAATCAACATAACACATCAATCAGGATCCTCATATATATATAAATAGTTGATTTTTCAAACTTGTTGAAATTTGATTAGTTCAACTTTATCATCTTTTGAAATTTCTATGGAAGAATAATCCTCCAGATGCCAAAAAATCTTTTGGTATAGCCAACTGATACGACAGTCTTCATTCCTAACTTACATTGTATGCGTGTTGACTGTTGCGTATCCTAGATCCATGAAGTTTCTTGATTCACCAAGCACCCACGCTCGTCCAACTACATCCCAAACTATTGTGTTTGGTTTATGATTCACTAGCCTTCATGCACGCGCCTGCATTTTTTAATAACACTATTATCCGCGTATGAAAGACCTTTTTTTATAACCGGCATTACAACCTCTTAAGATGAAAATTGCATTATTTCCAACTTGGAACCTACCACTCTTGTTCCTTAAAGACTTAAAAAGTAAACTATATGATTTTTCCTCTATTTTAGGTCATGTGTCAATGAGTACCCCACCATTTAGACAACCCATTTCTGATTATTACCTTTTTTTTTTTTTTGTTAATTTTAAATGATTGTCTCATTCCATAACTTCAAGACCGTTCTTCAAATCAACATAACACATCAATCAGGATCCTCATATATATAAATAGTTGATTTTTCAAACTTGTTGATATTTGATTAGTTCAACTTTATCATCTTTTGAAATTTCTATGGAAGAATAATCCTCCAGATGCCAAAAAATCTTTTGGTATAGCCAACTGATACGACAATCTTCATTCCTAACTTATATTGTATGCGTGTTGACTGTTGGGCATCCTAGATCCATGAAGTTTCTTGATTCACCAAGCACCCACGCTCGTCCAACTACATCCCCAAACTATTGTGTTTGGTTTATGATTTACTAGGCTTCATGCACGCGCCTGCATTTTTTAATCACATTATTATCCGCATACGAAAGACCTTTTTTATAACCGGCATTACAACCTCTTAAGATGAAAATTGCATTATTTCCAACTTGGAACCTGCCACTCTTGTTCCTTCAAGACTTAAAAAGTAAATTGTATGATTTTTCCTCTATTTTAGGTCATGTGTCAATGAGTACCCCACCATTTAGACAACCCATTTCTGATTATTACCTTTTTTTTTTTTTTTGTTAATTTTAAATGATTGTCTCATTCCATAACTTCAAGACCGTTCTTCAAATCAACATAACACATCAATCAGGATCCTCATATATATAAATAGTTGATTTTTCAAACTTGTTGATATTTGATTAGTTCAACTTTATCATCTTTTGAAATTTCTATGGAAGAATAATCCTCCAGATGCCAAAAAATCTTTTGGTATAGCCAACTGATACGACAATCTTCATTCCTAACTTATATTGTATGCGTGTTGACTGTTGGGTATCCTAGATCCATGAAGTTTCTTGATTCACCAAGCACCCACGCTCGTCCAACTACATCCCCAAACTATTGTGTTTGGTTTATGATTTACTAGGCTTCATGCACGCGCCTGCATTTTTTAATCACATTATTATCCGCATACGAAAGACCTTTTTTATAACCGGCATTACAACCTCTTAAGATGAAAATTGCATTATTTCCAACTTGGAACCTGCCACTCTTGTTCCTTCAAGACTTAAAAAGTAAATTGTATGATTTTTCCTCTATTTTAGGTCATGTGTCAATGAGTACCCCACCATTTAGACAACCCATTTCTGATTATTACCTTTTTTTTTTTTTTGTTAATTTTAAATGATTGTCTCATTCCATAACTTCAAGACCATTCTTCAAATCAACATAACACATCAATCAGGATCCTCATATATATAAATAGTTGATTTTTCAAACTTGTTGAAATTTGATTAGTTCAACTTTATCATCTTTTGAAATTTCTATGGAAGAATAATCTTCCGGATGCCAAAAAATCTTTTGGTATAGCCAACTGATACAACAGCCTTCATTTCTAACTTATATTGTATGCGTGTTGACTATTGGGTATCCTAGATCCATGAAGTTTCTTGATTCACCAAGCACCCACGCTCGTCCAACTACATCCCAAACTATTGTGTTTGGTTTATGATTTACTAGGCTTCATGCACGCGCTTGCATTTTTTAATCACATTATTATCCGCATACGAAAGACCTTTTTTATAACCGGCATTACAACCTCTTAAGATGAAAATTGCATTATTTCCAACTTGGAACCTGCCACTCTTGTTCCTTAAAGGCTTAAAAAGTAAATTGTATGATTTTTCCTCTATTTTAGGTCATGTGTCAATGAGTACCCCGCCATTTAGACAACCCATTTCTGATTATTACATTTTTTTTTTTTGTTAATTTTAAATCATTGTCTCATTCCATAACTTCAAGACCATTCTTCAAATCAACATAAACACATCAATCAGGATCTTCATATCATAAATAGTTGATTTTTCAAACTTGTTGAAATTTGATTAGTTCAACTTTATCATCTTTTGAAATTTCTATGGAAGAATAATCCTCCGGATGCCAAAAAATCTTTTGGTATAGCCAACTGATACAACAGTCTTCATTCCTAACTTATATTGTATGTGTGTTGACTGTTGGGTATCCTAGATCCATGAAGTTTCTTGATTCACCAAGCACCCACGCTCGTTCAACTACATCCCAAACTATTGTGTTTGGTTTATGATTCACTAGCCTTCATGCACATGCCTGCATTTTTTAAATTACGGTATGCTACGCGAGGAGAGAAGAATCTAATTGGGTAGTGAGGAGAGAAACCGGGAAAAGGAATTATGGAGAGTGATTTGTGGCAAGTGATTGGTTGTTTGCGTGAGGGAGAGGGAACACGGATCCCCTTTTTGTGGGATTGTTTGACCTTCAAAGTTTGTACTACCTTTAATGTACAAATCAGATTGCTTACAGTGTTTTAGACACTGTAAATTCGTATGTGCGTGTACAAAAATACTCATGGTTAACGTACTTTAATGGGGCGTAATTTTTTCGTTACAGATCTGATTCAAGTCTAACACGCGTTCATAGCGACGAGTACAATTTAAGTACGAAACCAAGAAAAGAAACAACAGTCGAAAACAACATCCATGTCATATTACACTTTTCCCCAAAAGGGTAAAAATGTCAAATTACACAAACGAAAAGGAAATTATAGTGAAAATTAGGGACGAGTCGTCACAAAAAGCAAGATTATGTTTAGTCTTATCAATAGAAGTAGAATTGATTCATACGAAATACATCCATGGGTGTACAACCACAATTTTTCAAGATCAATGGACTACATAGTCTACAACTTTCAGGTCCATATACCCCATCTTCTTCAACCATGGTCATAAAACAAGAACATTGAATGATTTAATGAATTCAAGTTATACTCTTACACGAACTTCAAAGCCAAGATTAACCAAAGTCCTAAGACTAGTCACACTATTTTCTCCAAATTCTATATGTTCTTCCACAAATCCGAGCTTTAATTTAAATAAAAGTCAAGAAAACACCTTCAACAACCAAACATCACCAAATGGGATTGCATTTCCCAATTGTCGAATAAAAAAAAAAAAATCACATGCGGGTAAAATTTAATTAGTCATAACGAAAGAGGGAAAATAGAAAAGGATACAAAAATTTGTGTTGCTCGAACACCTTGTCTCTACAAAACAAGAATCACTCCACAAAAATAAAAATATAAAAAAAAAAAAAAAATGGAAACATAATACAATTTAATTTGATGAGCAATTCAATTTGCTGCAATTGGAGCTTGGTAATGTCGGCAAAGAAAACCACAGAAAATGGCTTCAATAAAGTAGTTGGGAGAGGGTCTATGAAATGGTGCCATTGTGCAATAGCACAAACGAGGTCTGGTTTGAGGTGTTTGTCAACGAATTCCTCGGGTTTTTGAATTTTGTGGTGGAAGATGTCCACGAGCCCTAGATTCGACTGGATTAAAATTCGACAGCACAACCTTCTCCAACTCTAATGTCCTCTGAATATCGACTTCCGTTGGCTCAACAGTCAATATTGATCACTCCGTATTGCCTCACCACCGAGATAGTGATGGCTCAAAATGAAGTTTGGGGATCTAATCTGTGGATTTTGCATGGGGACAAAGATGGAGCTGCGATGTGAAATTAAAAAGAAAAAAATGAAAGGTTTCGAATGTCAGGAAGAAATGT